GTAAGTTATTAATGTCTTTTTATATTCTCATCTGCGAAAAGGGTATCGGTCTTTTTCCCCTCTTAAATTGGTACATGATTTTTGTTGATTTCACTTTTCGTGAAGGGTGTGTGTTTGCATTAAACATAAAAATGAGTATAAAAGAGCACAAAAAATAGATCCTCAAATCTGTGCAAAAGTGGCCCTATCACCGCGGAGGATGATAAAATTCACTACAATGTTGTGACCGTATCAAAATAAAAACAATGTAAAAGAGCCATTTGGGCACAAAAATGGACAGCTTTGTTAAGCTCCCGAGGAATAAATGAAAGCTAATTTGTCTAAAAAAAAGAGAAAAGCAAAGGTATTACATTGCTTCAGATTCACCTTCCAAATCTTTTGAACCAGAGAATTCCTCATATAATTGTTGATGTCACCTTTCATGAATAAACCTCATGCTTTGGTTACTCATCAGTGCCTACATACTCACAAGATTCTAATGAGTTAATTTAGCACATCATAAAGTCATATCTCGCTCCACCTCCACCTTCACCTCTAGTGCCTCAGCCTTGATCACTTATTACTAATGTTTACTCGAGAAGACCTTGTTCCTCTAATCCTAGTCCAACGTCGATATCATCTTCCTTAGTGGATTCTCCTCCTAGTGGCCTTGATGCACCTATTGCTCTTTGAAGAGGTTAATATCAATGTGTCTATCCCATTTTCTCGTGTTAATTATAATTAGTTATCTTCTACGTCATGTTCGTTTGTTGTTTCTCTTTACTCTGTTGAGGTTTTACGACCTGATCAACAAGCCCTATCCCATTCTAGGTGGAGGACAACAATGCTTGATGAGATGAATGCATTGATTGAAAATGCAACTTGGGAACTAGTGAACTACGTTTTCGCAAGAATGTTGTTGGTTATAAGTGGGTCTTTGCGGTTAAGTTTTATTCTGTTAGATTTGCAGCTTGTTTCTAATCTCGACTGGTTGCCAAGGGCTATGCTCAAACTTGTGAGATCAACTACTTTGACAAATTCTCTCAGGTAGCTAAGTTTACTTCAGTTCGCCTACTCCTATTCTTAGCCATAATGAATAATTGGCCTCTGCATTAGTTTGTATGTGAAGAATGCTTTTTGTGCATGGTGATCTTTTGGAAGAGGTGTACATCGAGCAACCTCTTGAATTTGTTGCTCAAGGGAGTTTGGGAAAGTATGCCGTCTTTGAAAGTCCTTATATTGATGCAAAGCCCTCAAGCATGCTTTGGAAAATTTAGCCAAGCAGTAGAAGGGTTTAGGATGTAGAAGAGCAGAAGTGATCATATTTTATTTTATAAGCAATATGTTTCAGGATTCATTCTATTGGTAGTTTATGTTGATGATATTATTATTACTGGAATGGATGTGCAAAGAATCTTTTTATTGAAATTATTTCTTTTAAATCAATTCAAAGTTTGGGTTCCTTGAAGTAATTCTTGGGGATTGATGTTTCAAAGAGCAAGAAGTGTATATTTTTTATCTCAACGGAAGTATGTGCTAGTTTTATTAGCAAAAATTGAGAAATTAGGGGTCAAACAATGCAATACTTCGATGTTTCATACTCAACAACTTACCAAGGAAGGAGTCCTTTAATGATCCTGAACGATATAAGAAGTTAGTGGAAAAACTAAACTACCTCACAGTAACTCGGCCTGACATGACATATTCAATTTAACACTATAAGTTAGTTTGCCTTCCTCCACAACCCATCATTGTTCAGCCTTGCAACAAATATTATGTTACCTCAAGGGAGCTCACAGACAATGTATTTTATATTAGGATCATGGGCATATAAATATTGAATATTTCTCTGATGTTGATTGGAATCGAAAATTCATAGCTGGATATCTTGTCATTGTTGGTGGAAATTTGCTCTTATGGAAGATTAAGAAATAGAATGTAGTGTCACGGTGTAGTGTTGAATCTGAGTGTGGAGCGATGACACAAGTTTCGAGCGAATTGATATGGGTTTCTCAACTCTTGACCAAAATGGGTTTGAATAAGACAATTCCAGCTGTGGTCTGATAACCAAGTTGTAATTCATATTGCCTCAAATTGTGTCTTTCATGAACAAACTAAAGTACATTGAGATAGTTTATCATTTTGTTCTCGAAAAGATTCGACAAAATCTAATCTGCATAGCTCATGTAAAGATTGATGAACAACTAGGGAATATCTTCACAAATGCCCTTAATGAATTTAGGGTCACTTATATATGTAACAAGCTCGGTATGATAAATAGGATGGAGATGATACAAAAGGCCTTTATGGAAAATTTAAAGCCACTCCTTATTACAATTTTTTAGAGTTATTAGGTGGGAGGGGCCGACAATTAGAAATAATAGGGAGGAGGTGATACATAATTAAATCAAAATTTGATTTCTAAATAGAGACAGTTTGGTCAATCCTTTTTTGGTAAAGAAAGTGGCGCCACATTTGATCACATGTTGCTTGATCAAAGGTTATATTGATTATTTTGATTATCACACTTTTGCCTTATGAGGGAGGTGAGGACAATAGGGTTAATGCATCATGGAGAATTAGATGGATGTCTGAAAATAGAAACAATTTGAATTTTAGCCTGTTGAAGATTTTTCTTACTCCAAGACTTGTTATTTTCCTTCTTCTTACCTTGCAATTAAGGTTTTGTTCACTTTATAGGTATATAGAGACTCTGGTAGCAGTTATAGGTGCTGGCTTGTTTTCAAAGAGTTAGGATAGGGCTTGATTTGAGTATGTTGGAAAAGGTTTTTACTACGGCATTTGAAAATAAAGCCCTACCTAATGCTATTATAAATATTATAATAACCCCAAATAGTTGTTTCAAGTTTAATGATGATGTGATGATGGCATTGCTATATATAAGAAAAGAAATCTACAATAAATTTAAAATTTAAAACCAAACCAATAAAATTTGAAATCAAACTAATTCACTAATCTGCATAACCTGAGGAATATCCTCGGTAATCCATGGTTTGTATGGTGCATTCTTTTAAAGGTTAAATTGAATCTTGTTATTTGAATGCTCATTTTCCTCGTCTTCATTTTGAACTCTCCTTATTCAATCTCTTTAGAATAAAACTTGGTTGGCTCCGTTGTATTGATTCTAAGTACAGCTCTATCAAGGAATCTTGGTCAAACTTTCAAGAATTTTGTTGTCCTCTCTCAAACAATCTCCCTTTTTTTTCCATGTTTGTTTTATTTTTTGGGTGTGATGCTTAGATAAATCACGGTTAATGATTGAAACACGTGTAGAGATTGGTTGTAGAGAATAATTAGAGTTGATATAAAATGAGGATCTTGTATTTTCTTTGTTTCTTTCTTCTTCATATATATAATTTTGAATTATTTTGAGCTAGTAATTGTTCCATGTAGGGGGGTAGAGGTTTTAAATAGAAGTGTTCTGCGTTTAAATGTTGCAATGTTTTATTTACCTGTTGCTCCTCTTCTGTAGAGGGGTTTAAATTATTTGAATTCAATTCGAACTATTTTGAATGTTGTTTGGCTCACTTTATTTGAACGATGAAGAATTTATATTTATATTCTACTTATTAATTTGCTTAGGCAGCATGACTTGTTCATGAACATTAATTTATTTAAAAGTAATATATAATATTATATGACATTTATAAATATGAATTATCATACGTATATATATCCTTTTAAAAAATCTAAAAAATAAGAATAAATGAAGATCGCTTTTCATGGTGAAAGTTTATAAAGTGATGCATAATAATTTGACTAGTTGAATAAATTTACATTGAAAGTATATTTTTTCCTAGTACGCATTATATTTTTAGGAAGTGGCCTTTGTATATTTAAGCCTGGGTTATATAAAACTACATTATATTTTTTACTTCGCATGGTGATATTTGGGGCCCATACATTTCTGTATACCCATGTGTTGGTTATGCCTGCCTCTTGAAAGTTAAAAAAGATGCAAAATTAATTTGGTAGAACTTACAGAATATGGTTAAAACCTAATACTCATTTGACGTCCAAATTTCATTTGAATAGAGGAATCGAGTATTTTGACAAGAAAGTTTCCTAAATCAAATTACTCATTAAACTTCTTATTCAAACACATCCAAACAAAGAACAGGCGTCTCTTTGTATACTGCTTTGATTTTTTATATACATATTTTTATTTCGCAAATAACATCTTTAAAAACACTTGAAATAAAAATGAAATATTAAAAAATATTAAAAAAACAGCACATATAAGTATTATATAAATAAAATTAATAATAAGTGTAATAATCATTGACACGCAAAGGCATGCATGTAAAGTTAGAATTTAGATCTTTAGGCGTGAATACATAAGAATCGAGTAATATCCAAATAAAACTTATTTCATCTTTTCCTTCCCATCAGTAACAAAAGATTTATGAATAGACTAACAGGAATCTGTTCCAATTATGTATTATTAGCAGAGGTCACTTGAATAGACTAACAGGAATCTGTTCCAATTATGTATATTTATGTGCATACCATACAAATCTTATGTATTTACATATCAACACCTAAAGTTTGATATTTAGATTTAGGGTACATTTACCAAGATAAATCCATGCATGAAAAAATGTTTCACTATAGCTAGTGATGGTAGTATTTTTCATGTGATGAATGTAAAAATGAATGTTATGGCGGCGTTCGATACGTAAATACATAAGAATTGTGTGGTATGTATAAATTAAATTTAGAAAAAAAAAATAGAAAAAATAAAAATAAGAATCACGGCACCATCGCAGATATCATAGAGAGGCGTTTTCAGTCAGAACAAGGCACTCCCCAGTCCACCAAAAAAGGAAAAAAATAAAAACGAAAATCCTTCAATCTATCTCTTATCTGACTGCTGAAGCCCACCCTTCCTCAAATATAAGCTAAGAGAAATATTATTTTAAGTTCCATTAATTTTCACAACTACAATTTTCTTTATATATATAAAGAGCAACATTGATTACCTCATAAGAGAATAATGATCAGCAGGGTCCTTTAGAAGAGGCATCAGCTCCTCCCCAGACAGAGTCCCATGAGTGTCCAGGTGCTGCTTTTGGGCCCTCCAGAAAACGCTGCTGCTGCTCCGGTGCTTCGGTGCCTGGGAGCTGCTTTCCTCTTCTCCTGATTCCTAGTATTCTTAAAACAAATCTTGCCAGCTCCCCATATAACATCCCCGACCGATCAAACAGCTGCAAATTACTCACTCAATTAGAAGGTATTTACAAATTTAAAACCTAAATTTTAATATTTACTTATATAACACAACTTGGTGTCATGATCAAATCAAAATATAAACACACATGAAAACATGAGATATACTTTTACACAAAATAACATTGGTAATGTTTTCTCTGTGATGCTAATAATTCAGTTATGTTATAAAAAATATTATCAATGACAATTTTACCTGAAGAAGAGCTGTCATAAACAAGTGAAAAGCTTGAGTATTCTGATCAATTAGAATCGAAATCCGTCCGAAAAAGTTCACCACGCCTTGCATCTGCAAAGTAGTGTTCAGAACACCATTAAAGTAAAAAAAAAAAACATATATACATGTGAATATTAATGCGGACATATATCAAAATGAATAATAATAACAAATCACTCACCACACGAAGGACGGACATCCAAAAACCTGGGGGTGTTGGTGGCGGCCCATACGGATTATTTGGATCTTGATTCCCGTAAGGGCCGCCCATACCATAACCACCCATTGGCCCTCCAAAACCACTGTTGTACATGCCTCCGTACGTGCTGTTATAGCCACCATAGCCCCCTCTGTACATGCTATTTCCATAGAGACCTCCATATGAACCACCCAATCCTCCATATGATCCACCGTATAGGCCACCATATCCTGAATTATAGTTCTGGTTTGAACCATAGCCTGCTTTCAGGGAAAATATTTAGTTACAAAAAAAAGTAAACTTATTCAGACAAGCAGGTGATCTTTCAGATCAATATTTTGTACCTCCATAACTATTTCCATAGTTTTGATCCCAAGGTCTAGCGGGCACGGATCTTGCAATTATGTTATTGTTAGCTGCTGCTGCATTCCCAGTATTAGAAACCACCTCTCCAGGCTTTGCAGTCCCGGAAGACTCAACAACGTCGCTTGTGTTGCCCGGGGTTGGAGGCTTGAATGGGGCAGGGCCTGAAGAGGAGCCAGCACGTTCCCAAGGTTTAGGTGGGGGAGTAGCTCCTGAAATGATTGATTTACATGAGAAAGAAAGAGAGGGTGATTTATTTCCAACATACGAAGCATAATTCAAGTTAGAGATTCCAATCTGGTTCAACCAATATCAAGTTACTTAAATGGTCCAATCTAATTCAAACAATACCAATTATAATGCATCTTCCAATCTTTAGTTCAAACAATGGCAAATATAATATAACTTGGAGCTTCATGAAAGATGAAAGAAAAGTACAGAACTCTTAGGCCAATTTCAGTTTCGCAAGCTGAAGTGCTCGAACACTCCAGAAGACAGCCAATATAGGATGAAAAAGAGTGCATCAGTAAATAATGTGTGGGAGTTTAAACAAATATAAAACAGTCCACATGAATCGGCACTGGATAAATTATGCACATTGCTCTATAAACATTCATTAATCTCACAGGAGAATTAGACAATAATACAAGTTAATAACGTGTGGAAGTTTGCAGTATATTTACACACGTTTTTTGAAGTTTAGATTAACACTTACCTTTAGGTACTCGAATAAAATTCACGTTCAATTGGTCTCGACAACTCTCATCATCATTATCATCATTAGTCTAAACTATTTAGGGTTGACATCATGAGTCTTCATTTTTCATTCATTCCTATTAGATGATGTTTGAGTTGCTAAATCACTTTTTGCAAATGATTTTCAACGACTATCCCTGTAATCTTATGTCATTTTTCCTTGACAAATCTCTAACACTAATATTATCAACTCATCTAACGGGAGCATTTTTTGCTCTTCATTGCACTAGTTCAAACCATCAAGCTTAGTTTCAATCATTTTATCTTCAATAAATATCACTCCTACCTTTTTCTCTAATAAAACTATTCCTTAATTTATTCTACTTGATTTTGCTAATCTCATTTCAACAACTCGAAACACTGTAATTGTCGGGTCCTAAGCCCCAAATGTGAAGAGTGACAGGTTGCGTTAGTTAGTCAACAAACAACGTAAAATTTGTCGAAAAATTATGACATGAATACTTTTGAACATCGAGTAAAAGACGTCTTTTGAAAGCGACACACTATATGACATGAATACAATGAAAAGTGTGCAGGGGCCGCTACACTAGCGCCTGAGAGAAGTGTCAATTAAGTAAGGGTTCTCACATTAGGGGCAGATGTGGGTAAAGATGTTAGTCAATGAAACTATTATTAGGATATAATATTGGAATATAAGTATTCTCACAGGTAAATTAATGAAATTAGTTGATATTATGATTCATAGATAGATAAATATCTTATGTATTGAAGAAACAAAATGGGTTGGAGAAAAGACTAAGGATATTGATAGCATAGGTTTTAAACTTTGGTATTCAAATAAGAGTTGCACTAGAAATGATATATGTGTAATTATAATGAGTTTGAAAGATAATTTTTTTAAAAATTAATATAATTGGAGATAGAATTATAGCCCTTAAGATTGTTGTTGATACTAAGATTTGTAATATTATAAGTGCAAATGCTTCTCAAGTGGTTTAGATTTAAGTTCTAAAGAAAAATTTTTGAATGATCTAGAAGAATTAATACAAATGATAACTCTTGAAAAAAGAATTTTAATTGAATGAGATTTAAATAAACATGTCAGTAGAGTGATAGAAGATTTTAAAAATATTCATTGAAGTTACGGTTTTGGAGTGATTAATGAAGAAAGTAGAGTCATAGTAAATTGCTTTAGTGTATTATTTTGTTATAGCTAATATTTTATTCAAGAAAAGAGATGTACATATTATTATTTATAAGAATGAATATAATAAAACACAAATTGATAATTTTTTTATGAGAAGAAAATTTTCTTATGAGAACAAATTGATAATTTTCTTATGAGAAGAAGAGATCGTCGAGAATGTAAAGATTTTAAGGTCATTTCAAATGAAAATTTAAGTACCCAATATCGATTATTAATTATGAATTTTAAAATGAAGAGTTGTAAGATAAAAAATAATAGGAATCACTGTCATAGAATTATATGGGAGCACCTAAAAGACATTATTTTTATGAAAAAACTTCCAAGATTTCAAAATTCGAGATGTTCATCAAGAAGCAAACACCGTGAGATAAAGTAACACACATTATTAAATAAGAGACAAAAGATGTACTTAGAGAATTAAAAAAATATTTTTATAAAGAAAAATAATTGATATTGGAATAATAGTGTGCTATAATAAACAAAATATTATAAGTTATGTCATAAAAAATTGTTTAAATATAAAAATTTAGAGAACTGAAAAAAATATAAAATGACTCGTAGGAAGTCTAAGAGAACAATCTATGACGTTAAAAATTTTATTTTTTGTAATCTTTATAATAGATTAGATACTAAAGTGTGAAAAATAAATAAATTAGTCGAACAAAAGAAAGAGGATGTGGAGGAATAATATTTTGTTCCCCATTTTTAAGATTAAAGATGATGCACAAGAGTGTGCAAATTATAGAGGAATTAAGTTGATATGTCAAGCTTTAAATTTATGAGAGGGTAACTGAACATAGGTTAAACGTATTATAAAGATTTCTTATAATCAGTTTGGATTTATGTCGGTCAGGTTTACTATGGAAGCTATACATTCATTGAGAGGTTTGATGAAGTATAGAGGGAATGAGGAGAATCTACATATGATTTTTATTGATTTAGAAAAAACTTACGATAATGTTCCAAGAGATATCCTTTGAAGAGTTCTAGAGAGGAAAGTCATTGATATGACTAATATTCAAGTAATTAAGGATATGTATACTAAAGCTGTTACTTGTATTCGAACAGAAGTAGGATTGACCAGATATTTTCCTATTTCAGTTGGATTAAATCAAGGATCGACTTTAAGCCCATACCTTTTTGTTTTAGTTATGAATGCTTGCTTTTACTAGACATTTACAGGGGGATGTGCCTTGGCGCATGCTTTTCGCTGATTATATATTTCTTGTGGATAAGACTTGAGAAAGAGCTCAGGAAAAACTTGAATTATGGAGATCTACTTTGGAGTCTATAGGCCTTCGTTTGAGTAAAACTAAAATTGAATGCATGAGTCTAATTATAGTAGTAGTAGCTCTAGTGACAGGGTTGTAACTATAGATGATCAAATTATTAAAAGGTGCGAACGTTTTAGATATCTCGGGTCTATTGCTCAAAGTGATGGTGATATAGATGAGGATGTTATTAGTAGAATTTAAGTTGGTTGGTTGAAGTGGAGGAATGCTTCAGGCCTATTGTGTGATAGAAAAGTACCGCTTAGACTGAAAGGAAAATTTTATACGGGGGTGGTGAAACCTGCAATGCTCTATGGTGCGGAATGTTGGCTTTCAAAAGAGAAGCATAAAACTAAGTCTTGTCGAGATGAGAATGCTTAAGTGGATGAGTGGCTTTAAGACAAATTTTGAAATGAATATATTTGAGTTAGTGTAGCTTCAGTGGCGTACAAAATTAGAGTGAATCGTCTTAGATGGTTTGGTCACATTAAATGTCGACCATCTGATGATCTGGTTAAAAAAAGTAGATGTTTTAGATTCAACTTATGTTAAGAAAGACAGAGGTAGATCTAGAAAGACTTAGACATATTGAATAAAAAATGATCTTAATTTATTAGAATTAAATGAAAATATGACACTTAATAAGACGCAATAAAGAAAAACGATTAATGTAGCCGACCCCACTTAGTAGGATGAAGAATTGTTGTTATTGTTGTTTAATTGAGCGACACAAAATTTAGGTATCGAAAATTTTTTATATTACAACATTTGAATCCATGTCATTGTCAGCCTAATTGAAGTCTTATAAAATTATAAGCATGAGTTCATATCATCACATAAAACTCTGGCACTTTTCCATTAAATTTAGTAGTTATACCAAAGTTTATATGTTCATTATTTTATATAATAAATCCTATATATAAGTCTATCATATCAATGTATTACTTTATCTTTTAATAATATTGAGCGATAAATGTTATCATGAGCAATAAAATTATTCATGATATACTTTGTCTGTCTTTGCTTGATTAATTCTAAGGCCTCTATTTTTAAAATTTTCCTCTACTAATCTAAAATTTTTAATGATTTCGGTGAATGTTTCACCAAATAGAACCATTCTTGCTATAAAAAATATACACTCGAGCTCTCTTTAAATACCTTTTGCAAGTATCTCTATAGAGAATATAAAAAAAGACGTACTCAATAATGACATTGATGAAGCTAAAACAATTCAAAACCCTTCGATGACACCATAACCATTTCTAACACTAATAAGTGCTTCATTGTATATATTTTTAATAGCAGAGACACTTTTCTGCCTTAAAGTAGATCAAATCAATTCACATGGTGCTCGGGTCTTATGCATCATCAAGAACAATAAAAAATATATGAATATCATGTTTTATTCTCTATACTTCTTCATTAGTTGAATTAACACAAATATAGTTTCTATAGTAGATCTTCATGGCATTAGACAATGCTGATTCTCCAAAACTAATATAACTTTTTCTAAGCATGTGTTTAAATCATTTTTTATTCTCTATACTTTTTCATTAGTTGATATAGCACAAAGATCGCTTCCATGATAGATCTTCATGGCATTAAACAACATTGATTCTCCAAAATTATTATAATTTTTCTAATTCTAAGCATGTGCTCAATCACTTTTTCCCATAACTTTTCTATAAGACCAATAAAGTTAATTCCTCTATAATTAGCACAATCTTTAAACATTGCCTCTTTTTAAATTTTAATGCGGGGATACTTTCCTCCAATCATTGACATCCTAAGTTTCCAAAATTTTATTAAGAAATTCATAAGCTAAATCATTATATTATCTTCAATAACTCTGCAAATCTTAGCAAGTGTCTCATTTGGACCTAAAGCATTACATTTATACTTCTTAAGAGATGACTCCACTTTTTTGTCTCAATTTATAATATATTTTACTATATTACTCGTTATGTTATTTTTAAACGCACTACCCTTGTTGTGAGGTCATTTGGTTAGAAGAAAATTAAGCAAAAAAAAAAAAAAATGCAAGAATTTTAAAGTTTTGATATTTGATTGGATGAAAAATAATTCCAAAGTGACTTGTTGATTTATTTAAAATTCAACCTTTTGTTCATTTTTTGGTGAAATATAAAATTGCCCACTTCGAGTGATTTTCAAAGGAACCAAATCACCTTCCCTAATCATGATTGCCCTTGACACCCGCCGCCAACAACAAATCACTATGGCTAAGGTTGTCAAAACGGCTAGTTGTTCGCAAACAGTTCGTGTTTAACTCATTAAAAAGCTTGTGTTTGATTCATTCACTAAGCAAACGAGCCGAACACGAAACAAGATTTGTTTGTTCGTGTTCGACTCTTTTTGGCTCTAAATAATTATATATATATATATATATAAAATTTATAATCAATTAAAATTATTAATTAAAAAAAGAATAAAAATATATTTAATTATATTTAAATGATATTTTAATATAAATAATAAGATTTAAATCTCACTGCTTCTCTTAACATCCTAAGACTGCAAAACCAAGGTTGTCAAAATGGCTCTTTGTTTGCGAACAACTCATGTTCAGCTCCCTAAGCAAACGAACCGAACACGAACAAATTTTTTTTGTTCAAAATATAAACAAGTCAAACACGAACAGTAGTATTTTTTAAAGAGCAGAACACAGGTTGAGCCCGACCTCGCTTGTTTACACCATAACCATGGCCACTGTCCACCATATTTTTTAAAAACATGTATTTCAAATGCACCATAATAATAAAAAAAAATCATTGCAATTGATTTGCACCAACCCAAAAAATTTACTCATTTCTAAAATGCATGTATTTGCTTTCTTTGTATTCAAAACTGCCTTGAATTCTAAATTCCTCCAATCAAACCATAAAAGTTTTAACTTTATTATAATTATTATAAGTTTTCAAAGTAGTTCATTTTTTTCTACTTTAGAAATGTATTTATTTTCATTAATAACATTTCACTCTCCCACCAAATCTTCTTGTCAACACACAAGCTATTTCTAAATTCTCCTAAACTTATATTGGTGATTAACATAAAATACTTGGAATAAAATTTGGTAGCTAAGAAGAAACCTACTTGTGATTTAATAATTGTACTTTTGTAATTAAATATTCTTCTTATTTATTAAAGTATGTATTCATTATTATTAGATCGTAAGTTACTAAAAAATCAAGTATAACCTCTCTCATTGCATTTTTATTTCACATTTCATAACCACCATGAATTCTCTCATAGTTTATCCTATTAGAATCTAAGCCAATTTAAATCACCTCCAATAAATATTATTTCTCCAATAAATGTATGTTATAATAGTTCTTTTTAATTATCTTATAACCTAACTTAAAAGGCATAAATTTCGGAAAAATTCACAATTTCTTATTAATAATTATTTTGATGAAAATGAACCTATTTCTTACCCACCTAAACTTCAAAATTTTATCTAAACTTTTATATCTACAAATAACACAAACCCATTCTATGTTTTAACTTTTCCAACAGACAATAACTTAGAATCTTCCCCACTATCCTTAATTTATTCTCCTTTCTATTTGATTTCATGTAAACAAATAATATTTATTCTCCTTATCATAGTGTCCACTAATTCTCTTATCTTCCCATTTATAGTTCCCAAAGTCCATTAGGCAAATCTAATTTTACATTTAGGTCAGGTTAAGCATTGGCTACTTTTCATAATAATCAAGCTAACTAGTGACACATTACTTAAAAATAACATCCTATCTCAACCTCGCTTACTTTTTATCATAATTAAGTTATGACATGTCACTTAAAAGATGTCTATTTCTCATCGCAATACATCACTTCTAAAGAACACATCAGCACTAATAAAATTCAAAATTGACATCTAAAAAAATAAAAAATGTAGAAAATGTTGGGAATATAAGAGGCCTAAAATTAGCAAAATAAAAAATTAAGTATATTTTCAAAAGACAAAATAATACACAGGCATGTTAGCCTTAAATACAATAAATCTACGTTAGATGAGTCTAAAATATGAAAATAAGGAAATAAACCTTATTAATATCATGAAACATTGATTCAAGCAATCCACAACACAGTTGATTAAAAAGGCAAGCAAAAAATGAATTAGAATTCTTAGTCAAATCCCTACTATGAAAAATCAAGCCCATCTTACTTGGTCATACGATGTGTGCAATCATTTCAAACTTCTAGACACCCTATATGGCTCTCCAACTTCAACTTTTATATAACTCTCTTTTCCCAGAAATAATCACAGACCTTCAAGAAACGAGCCACCAGAAAAATTGATACTGCTAGCCAAAACAAGAAAGCATTCATATGCTTAATTAATTATGCATTTACCAAATAATTGTCATCATTAGTCATGTTCAATTGTTTCACAAAGCCCTCTTAAGTATTAATTCACAAAACAAATCATTTCTATTGAGTTCCTATTTAGAACTATCTGAGGCTTTAAATCTAATTTACTCGAATCATTGAGCAAAACATTTTGCACAATTTCTATCCATATTATTGCCAGTACATTTTTCTTCCTACTTCCATAGTAATCTGGTCCAATCTTCTTATTGTTGTATCCTCTACACTCCATTATATATGCCCAAATCACCAAAAGACTATTTTTCACAAAATCTTCAATTGAAGCTACTTCTAGAGTTCCTCTCATATGACCATTTTCCAATCAGTACTTTCTAGTTTTTCCATGGATCATCTCAACGTTCTCATTTCTAACATACACAATATGAATATTATTGAATTTTCACCACTCATCACTAGGATTCATATAGCATAGTTGGTCTAATCATAAGTTATAAAATTTACATTGAACTTTTCAAGAAATTCCCTCATCACATCATAATTCTGACACACAGTAACCATAAATTTAGAAGTTAAATTTTCATTTTAATTACTCATTATTATGTAAAATAGATCCATGATATTTAAAGCAATCACACCTATGTATCATTTGGCCTTTCGAAAAATTTGACATGTAATTATCCCAGTTAAAATATTCCTCTACTAATTTTAGATTCCTTGTGTTCCAAATATTTCATCCATGATCCTATAATTCCATTCACTTCAAAATGTCAAATTATTTATAACAATATCATTTGTAAAAAGCATGCACAAAAGCACCTTATATGAGTATCATTTATAAGTATCTCCATAACCAATACAAAATAGCATTGATCCTTGACTTAATCCAAGCGCAATTTAGAAACTTTTTTGTCACTCTAAAACTAGTTCTAGTGATGCTAAATCATATACTTACTTTCAATAATTTCAACATACTTGCATTTTGTACTTAATGTACGCCAAATTAGTTCTCTCGTAATATGAATTTATGTCTTCTAAAGATTAACAAACACTACATGATGATTCTTATTTTCTCTTTATAATTTTCATTAATTGAAAGCCTTAGCACAAAAATCACCGTAATTATAGATCTTCTCAACATAAAGCCACATAAATTCTCCTATACCAACATGATTTTTTTTTCCTAAGCCAATATTCCATTACCTCCTCCTATAACTTCATTGCAGGAATCACAAATTACCATTTCTCAATATGCTATAATCTTAAATACCTTTTTTTGACCTTAAATAATAGCATCGAAATATTTCTCAAATAAATTAGCATCATATTGACCTGTAGAATATTCCATTGAAAAGATTTAGCAACCAAAGTGGTCCAATATCTTCCAAAACACTCCAGATCTCAAAAAGAGTATTCATAATGGTAATAACTATATGGACAAAAAAAAATAAAGCTCTACAAAAATGCATTCTCTTCAAAATTAACATAGTTTTACTTTTTTATCAAAGTTTCTTCTACAATTCATGCAATAGCCAATACGAACAAATTTAGAAAATGAATTCATAACATAGAGTTGCGCCCAAATAGCTGGCATAAGGCTGATGATGATAACGTTTGCTCATTATACTCTTCTAAAGAACTTTTAATATTGGAACTCTCATTTAATAATTTATCAAAATAATATTCTCATCTTTCTTTGATTTATTCACATTTACTTAAGATCATATTACATATATTTTTAAATGAAATGATAACATTATCAAAATTTTATGCTTCCCATCTCTTTCATTGTTGGGAAACTAAAAATTCATATAAGAACCAGTACAAATTTGAACACAAAATATGCAATGTTGAGGAGGGTTTGAACTTAATAGGTGCTTGACTTGATCATATCAACTGAACTGGAGAGCAAATAAGTTTATAATGGTGTGTTAGCCCCCAAACATGATGTGATTTGCTACACCAAATCTATAAATAAGCTATGGGGGCTCAAACAACCCTGAATCGATAAATCAGATAGTCCAAGAACAAGTTGGCCTAGTCAAACCAAGCTACCTTTACAACTAGAAGATTAGGCAATAATGAAAAAGTTAATGACATCACCTCATGCAGTTGGGAGGAGGGCAGGTGGAGGTTGGTAGACAGAACTCTATTTTGCCTCATCAAGAAGCATATTATAGCCCTCCAATCGCGCCGACATGTACTCCTTATTATGCAAATCAATATTAAGGTATAAATTTCTCCAAGCCATTGCACCTTCAATGCTTAAATCACTCATCTTATAGAGTAAATCCAGATAAAAATGATGAGAGTATCACACATTTCTGTTGAAAATTTCAAGAGATGACACTTTCTCGACCAACTAATTTACTCATTAAGACTTTGATCCATCACCATTAATACACAGTGTTACTGCCAATGTTTTAGCATGCATAGTTTCTCTATCCAAGATATTGTCAGCTGCAAACACCACTAGCTAACCGTGGTACGATTGAGTTAATTTAAAGGCAGCCATAATTAAATTACAAATTACTAAAAAGGGATGTGATCTCCATTATCCATTGTAGATAATTATAAAGAATATTATATATGAGAGCAAAAATAGCCCACTAAAAATCGACCAAAAAAGCTTTCCCAATTTGTTTGGCAAGTTTTTTTTTAGAATTAAAAAAATTCTATGGTAACTTCTCACTACTAGCACCAGATAGAATGACGTGCTATTAAATTGCTTCAAATTCCTTTAAATGCCTCGTGTTTTTTTTTTCCCCCACAACAAATCTCAGTAGAAAAACTCAGTAGAAAAATTGGCAATGGATGTGCTGCTTACTGTAGCCATATAAAAACAATAGGATATTCCTTCAGTTCATGTTGATGCCAATCTTACTTGCTTCAAAAGAAGCATCGAGAATGCCATAAACGATGTCAGCAAACTGGGTAGATCAGGCAGGTATATCAGAAAGCAGAGATGCACCAAAAAACAAGTAGAAAATTACTGGTGGAAAAAGAAAGATATTAAAAGAAAATTTGGTAGATGTTGTGCAAAAATAGAGCTAACACCACAATTAACCCTCAATAGAAATGAGGGAAAGACGGGAATTCATAAAGCCAAACTCAAATGGTTTGAAAGAGGCTTACGAAGATAATCATGATTATAATCCATTGTGTAAGTTGCATCTATCATGAACAAACTTTTTCTTGAAATCACCTAATGCAGAAGATTGTACTATTTAATAACCAAATTGTGCATCAATAACCAATTGCTTCACTTTTCCATGAATCATAGAGGCAAGAAACAGTGACTAATTTCAGATAATTAATCTTCTTGAAGAGTACATTGCTTTGTAAAAGAAACAAAAAAAGTAAGATTAAGGTCTACAATGATGGATGTGAAAAGATTATTCCAAAGTTATAAATAGCAATGTTTTGAAAACCTGACCAAACCGTCCGGTTCAACCAGTTCGACCATGAGCCAGTTTGTGTTCCGATTAGAGCATCGGATTGAATCGCTTTAGCATCAAACCATTCCAGATCGCCTCAAATTGTTAATTTGACCGATGAACCGATTCCAATTTGCGAGAAACGGGCGAAGAAAACCTCAAGGGGGCATTTGGTAGCACAATTTTAAAAGTATCTAGCCATGGATTTAACTCAAATCCAACCAAACACAAAAAAAATGAAAACGAAATCAAACTCTCTATTAATCCGAATTTATCTCTGTTTTCTCTTCTCTATAGTCGTTCCGTCTGCAAATCCGGATTTTCCAAATCCCACAAAGAGTCGGATTTGCCAAATTATGTTATTGTTGCTTGCGACCTTCGCTCCCATCGCGAGCTCGCCGGAAATCTGGATTTGAAAAATCCTATTAATGTAAATTTGATCATGCAGCCAAACACCCCCAAAGTGTGTTATCACTAAGATTTTCCCAACCAACAGAGTTTGTTATTGCTTTAATTTCCCAAACTGCACGAGGCATATTAACTTTTCCCATTATTCGTAAGCTTCACAACCCTCTCGGTAAATTCCTATTAGAACATCCCCTCCTGTCTTGATTATTCTTAATTTTAAGTTGTATAGCAAATCTCTAGTCGAATGCCTCAATTGGAGCTCTCTGAAGACTTCCGAGTCTGAGATTGCAAGCTTTTTGTGCATTGAGATAATACAAAACCAAAAAAAAAAAAAATTACACCTTACCATTTTTCACTCTCCTTTATGTTCTTATGGCTATTTTGAGACAATTTAGTATATTTTATTGAAATTTAATTGATGTTCTTACCAAGGTAAATTTATGCTCTTACAAAACCAGGTAAAAACTTCCTTATGTTTCAAAATATTGCAATAACTTGTAAAGTATTAAGCATTTTTTATTAAAATTTAATTGATTAAATTCTAATTTTCAATCTATTGTGTTTCTAGTAGACCGCTTAATGTGCAATTTAAAATATAAGTTGTGGATTAACATTCGTTAGAAATATAATTTTACAATTCATTGTATAAAGAAAATTTTTGTTAAACTTTCATTTTTTTTCTCTAGCTTCTGTTTTACAGTTAATCAAATTTTTAAATTTTATAATTCTGATTTTTGTTACATTTTATTATACTTAAATATTTTTTATGATTATTACATCATCCGGCTCAACCTTGCATATCTCTTCCTTCCAGTTCGACGTTCGGTCGGTTTTCACAATCCTGTTAAATAGTGTCCATGATTTAATCTTCTTACACACAACAAATTCATGGAGGTGGAATAATGATATTGCAGCTTCATATACATAAGTTCTTTGGTGCTTAACAGCATAACAAACATATGTTCAATATATAAACAATAAAACGAAATAAAATATGCATCAAAGTAAAGCATGAGAATTATCTCATAGGGGTGGGCGGTTTGAGTTTCTATTGTCTAAAATACATTATAATGTAGATTAAACTGCTATAGAAATTCCAAAGGTTATATTGCAATCTATCGATTGAATTATTAAAGTGAAGATTCAAAACCAATTTATAAACATCGATGACCATTATAGCCTGTCTAAAATTGATGACAAAGATATTGCATAAGAATAAAGCAAAGAAACAAGAAATACCTCACAGTCATAAGGACAAAAAAAAGGTACGCAACCAACTTAGACGATTATCTTGCCCATAATCACAAGAAAAAGTTGATATTAACATGCAATCAGTATCATCTATACTTCAGACGCACAACTAAAAAAATATATAATCAAGTTAAGGTAAAGGAAGAATTCAACAAACACATCAGATTACATCATCCGCCGGTGATGTGATGGGAACCAAAAAGAAAGTTTATGAAAAAAAAGAGGAACCAAGCAAACAAAGGTCAATCTATTTAAGAACATTCGATCGCTCCCCGAACAGATTTCAATCGTCCACCAAATCAGTACGTTTCAAAGGCAAAAAAAGAAAATATCGCAGAGATTTCCCACGGGCACTCGGCACCAGGTTGGCCTATGCAAAAACCCTAGAAAACTTTCATCGGCACCATTCACACGCAAAATCTATTACATAGATCATGAAATCGTAATAACATAAATCAGGTCATAAAGTCAAACGTTCTAACATCTAATTTCGCAAAATGAATCGATGAAATTCCTTCACAAACCTGTCTGCGGTGGATTTGATGCCATCGAGACAACAATAGGGTAACGCTACATATAAAGCGTTCTCCCTTCCCTCTCTCCCTCGCTCTTCTCGCTCTCCCTCTGTCTCTCTCACTGTCTTATTGGAGAGAAGAACTCTGCTCCACCTCAGGTCCTCATCCTCCCCGAAATTACCGAAAACTAATTAAAAATGAGGAACCCACGGGACACGCTGAGACACTGTCAGCCGGACCGGTCCGACACTCGGACCGTTCAACACGATCCAACCGCATTACTTGGGCCGAGCGATCTTATTGCGGGCCGGGTCAGGGGTAACTAGATAAGAGGTTTAGATTTGGATCCAATTTGATTTAAAGCCTGCTAAAACTCAATTCAAAATGTTTAATTTCTTACTTCTATGATTTTACGAATTTCTTTTCTATTTGAAAAATAGAATTTACACAATGATAAATGTCAATAAAATTTTTGGAAACCTACCCCTGGTGCTATGAAGTTATGTATTTATATATATGACGCCCAAAATTTGGCGATTACATTTATAACATCCTGATGTTTTAAATTTATACAATGAAAATGTGTATTTCACTTATAAAAGCATAATGATAGTAATATATTTTTTATGGATTTTAGTGATATGCATGTAAATACCTGAATAAGAAAGACACCCAACTCAGAGTGATCCTCCTATTGCAATGAAAATGTGTATTTCACTTATAAAAACATATTTCACTTATAAAAACATAATGATAGTAATATATTTTTTATGAATTTTAGTGATATGCATGTAAATACCTGACTAAGAAAGACACCCAACTCAGAGTGATCCTCCTATTCAACAGGACTACTTATCATAGCTCGACAGTCATCCACTCGAATTGGAGGGGCTCACCAATTAAGTTGAACTCATATTATTGTCGGGGGGCACTCACTAAGGCGAAATAACATTGTCTTATACCCTACAACATCACTTTTAAATACCTTGGTCGTAATTCTTTTAAATATTGGCATCATACATCCTTTCGTGGGTGCTTTTAAACACTGATTCTAGATAAGTGTTACGAAAAATATTTTTTCGTGATAGCACCAAATTAGCCAAACATGCTCAATTTCATTCATTTTAATTTTTGTTTTAAACCAACTAATTATATTATACACCCCTAATACTAATCATCGTGCTAAAGTCCGCCAAAATTATTAGTTAATCTAATAATTTCAATGCTCATCCTGATTATTACAACAATTCAAAATCAATCATTTGGCCTCACATTGTCTCCTCTATAAATAAGACCTCCATGACTCCAGCCACCCAAAACTTGAGCAATCTCCCCTCATAAACAATATTCCAATTCTTCCATCAAAATAATAATCAAAACTCACCCCTTTAAATAACCAAAAAATGAAACAATCACCAAGGAAGAAAACCTCTATATCTGCCTTCTTATCCCTCTCCCTCCCTCTCCTCTACCTCTCCCTCCTCAACACCTCCCCATCCAACCTCATCAAAGACACCACCTTTTGGTTCCTTCTCTCCAATTCGATCATTCTCTTCATTGCCGCCGACTCCGGCTTCTTCTCCGCCCCCGACGATACCAACATCCACATTAATAACAACCACTTCATCCCGCACAATACAAGCTATAACATACCTCCTTGTTTCGTCGAAGAGCAATCAAACAACAGTACAGAGAATCATGCGAACGTGAAAGAGAAGCATTTGAATTGTTCAGAGATTGATAGAGAAAGCGTAAAGAATGCGAGTTATCCTCCGGCGGAGAAACCAAAGACGCCGCCGAAGAGCTCTGACAACGAGGAGGAGAGCGAGTATTGGAAGATGAGTGATGAGGAGCTGAATAAAAGAGTGGAGGAGTTTATTAGAAGATTTAATAGGGAGTTATCCTCCAATTCCAATAGGTGAAGAGAACAAGAGAGGAATAAATCTTCTGTGTTTTGTTAACTGCTGCTTTGTTTTGCTTGCCAGATGTACGTAGTTGTTTATACAATGAAGAGAAATAAATCTTTTTGTTTAATGTTAATGGGCAGGTTTGCCTTAACTTCGATCGGCTTAAGTGCTGTCAAGATATATGTTATATGTGTGTTATGCATGAATATGAAACTTAGGGACATTTACAATATTCATATCATACAAATTTTATGTTTTTATATATCTTACCCCTAAACTCTTATATTTACATTTGTGGCACTCAAAGTTTTAATATCACTTTTACTAACATTTTCGTTTCCATGCATAGATTTAAAACACCAAAATATTGTAGATGTTAATATAGATGTTTAGATGTTGGATATGCAAATATATAAGAATTTTGTGATATTTATGTAAATCTTCGGTATACTTATGATATTTAGTCTAGTCGGATTGGAGAGGTAGAATTAACATAGAAATTAAAAAAAAAAATCTCTCAAAAACTAAGTTATTTAATTGAAACTTTTATTCTGATTTTGTCTGTTGAAGAGTGGACGGGTGCTTCAGCGCTCAAGGGGTCCGACACCTAGGTGCCCATGTCACGGCGACTAGGCGACCAATGGTTAGCGACTGCGCTCCAACCTCTCGGGTTGGTAAAACAGGGGC